CCAAAGGTCACTTGAGGTGAATTTTAAACTGCAATGCATCCATCAGACAGGACTGTGTAATGCAAAATGACAGCACCTCCCTGAACCCCCACCCCCCATCACCACAAAGACCTACCAGTCATATTTATTGATACGCAGCAGCTTGACATTAACAACAACATGAATATTACAATTGCAGGTGGCTGTACACAACAAAAAAACACACACACACACACACGCATCCACGCCATCTGAATACAGGGCACTTGAGTGAACACTGGACAATGGCATTGAAAATGCTAACTTCAGCGGAAATTTTGTGAATAACAATGTCTTGGTTATGATAGTGAGGCCAAGCGTTTGAATTGTTGCCCAATGGTAAGGAATTTTATATACAGCTGTACGTCTCGTACTATTTATATTTGATCAAATGAATGTGAAGACAGTAGAAGAAGGTATCTTGAGGAGAAAAGGAGGGGCCATGGAACGTAAGATGTGTGGCGTGAAACTGTCCGACAGATAGAACGCAAGTGAGCTCATGGAAAGGTTGGGTCTGGGAGAAACTATGGTGGAAGTGGAGGTGGTAAAGAGAACTGGATCGACATGGGGTGCGTTTATCGTGTCTTGCCACAGATATGTACATATCGAACCCCACTATCGTACCCCACTATCGAACCCCATTATACAAACATGATCTTCGGGATGTCGCGATTATCGTCTCTTCACGATTCAAAATAAAGGCCTTGTCTCTGCGCAGCTGCTTTGCACCGTTTGACCCGCATTCGCATGGGAAGGTCAGATTTGTATGTGGGGTTCAAAACAGCTTTGCGTTTATCACGTCTCAGAAACGTGATTCTGGATGTATGGCACATTCAAAACGCACATTTTTCGGCGTTACTATATGCCCATATCTAAAGACGTTTGAAAAAGGCTTTGCGTTTATCGCCTTAAAAATTTGCCTGAAAGACGTTTGAAAATGCGGATTCTAGGCAAAAAAATTGGACCATAAACGCAACCATGGATAGGTCATGTATTGAGAAGGGAAGAGAAGGCATGAGAAAAAGGAACACTGTGCAGGGGGTACAGGGGGCAATGCTCTGGCTGGAGCCAAGGCAATTCGGCAAATAGGAACCCCAGTTGTGAACCCTGAAGTAATATAGCACACACGAACAGACCACCACTCTCTCAGCAGCACACATACAATCTATAGTGGGAAGCTAGCCTGCTTGTAGTTAGCCAACGAGGCTACTTGCGCCAGCGGCAGGTGCGTGTTAGGAATCTGGGCGGCTAGCTTGTTGCCAAAACAATTGTAGATCGTCAGCTGGTAAAATGAAAGTAACTATAGTCAAGAGCATCAAAGGTGTTCTTATATTGTCTGTAATGCACTTAGTATTTTTAGAGTTTTTAGACTCATATAGGATGGTTAGGGCTGGACCACGTAACATATAAAAAGAAGATATTCTTCCCCTTTGCCATATCCATGCTGTGGGCATTTCAGCTAGTGCTGTAACATCACAGATATCTCCAATTCCGTTTAACCGCCAGTCAAAACAGGACGGTTTTCTGTTAAACGATTTAATTTTTTTTCTTCTTTTTTTCGGCAGACTGTCGGCAGTTAAAAAACCCACGCGGGAAGGACTTTCATTTAACTGCGAGGTGAAGGCGCTGATTTGTGCTTGTAAACTTGTCACAAATAATAGAAACAATATCGTCTTTAGAAGAATGTGTAAGATCATTAATGTAAATTAAAAGCAGTAGAGGACCTAGGATAGAACCTTGTGGTACGCCGTGAGTAATAGAAGAAAAATTGGAGGAATTATTATTATAAACTACATATTGAGATCTATTAGCAAGATTACTTTCAAACCAAGATGACAGACAAATTGGAGTATTGTTCTAGTTTCTGAGTGGTGAGTCAACACACGGATTACTGAGCTGGGAGACATTGCCAGGCATAGTGCCAGGTGGAGAGGCATAAATCAAAAAAATTAAAAATTAAAATTAAAACATGTGAAAACGAAATCGTCCAATAGAAAACGGATAGTGACACGGGCGGTCGGATACCGGACGGTTAAACGTTTGACTACAGCACTAATTTCAGTGCCAACTCGCCACAAAAGGGGCATTCACATTTCTGTACTTGTGCGACAGTGCCATCTACTCTAGTGCGCTGCCTAATTGGCCATCATCAGATAAATAATTCATTCTCGTTTATGCCTGCAAACCATGTGATCGAGGGGTATGCTCAACCAGCGCATCCCCCACGTTATCGTAGGTTATTCTTAGGTTTAGGTTTAGACTTAGGGTCAAGGTTAGGGTCAGGGTTAGGGTGTAAGGTTAGGTATAGTGTTGGGTCGAGTGCTGAAGTTAGGAATTTGGTTAGTGTAGGAAATTTATTGCGGAATAATCATCATAGGAGCATGAGTCGTACAACCAATAACAGCTATGAAAATCTGAAAATAGCTCTGGAAAAAGCTATGGAATAGAAACAACAGAATATCTCAAATCCCTGTGAGAAATCTATAGCGTGGCTAAAAACTTAACTCTCGTGAAGAGAAAATTACCATTGAAGATGCAAAAGTGACATTGACTAGAGGAACTCTAGGATAGTCAGGTAAATTAACTGCTGTCGGTGCAGTGATGAGTGATTAGGATTAAGAAGACTAATCAAAGGAACTATCACTCAATTCTGAATGAGATCATATTACTCCTAAAAGGAGTGATACTGTGCTGGATCCAAACATGAGCTTGTAGACATAATGTACAATTTTGTTATCGATTAAACAAGAATTTGTAGAATTTCTGGATTTTAATTGACTAAAAATGGAAAAAAACTCACAATTCTAAGCAGCAGCACGGAGCAGCAGAACAGAGCAGCAGCAGCAACAGAACGATTTATATTTTATTTTATTACAATATGAATATCATTAATTTTAGGAAATATGTCAATATGGAACTCCAGGAATTGGACATGCTCTGGCATCACAACACAATCTGCATGCGTCACACATCGAGTGGGGGAATTTATATATATTATACATTTGACATATATTCGAAGTGAGAAGTTGAATAAATGAACTTGATAGCATAGAGTGCATGATGCTAATTATATCACGAGAGCTAGGTGATTAACAGCTTAATTAATGTCCCAGGATAAGCCAAGGGAAATGATATTTAAGAACACTTTTAAAGTAATATATCTTGTGTGGAGTGTGAAAATGTTATATATAAACATTCAAGGCCGGTCAAAGAGAGAAATCAAAACAAAATTCTAACGCCTGTGGTGGGCGTAAATCAAAACTGAGTGGGTGGGTGCCAATTAAATTATCACACTGATTTTTAAAAATTAAAAAACATTCTCAACGCTGACATACTGTTCATATAACAGCCCGATGATGCAGTAAGTGATAAATCCTATACCCCATTCACAGTGGCCTCAAACACCGCGACAGCAGCGGGACTGTCCCGCTGCTGTCGCGGTGTTGTCTTCAGTGTGAAGGCTCGGACCCGTTATAAACTATCGCGGCATAACACCGCCTCGCGATAACGCCGCGACAAACTATCGCTAGGTTCGCCTAGCTACAGCAGCGGGACAGTCCCGCTGCTGTCGCGGTGTTTACTCAGTGTGAAGGCTCTCCGCTATAACACCGCGACAAACACGTGTGATTTGTTTACTTACCTATCACTGACCTCTTTTCTCCAGCAATGGGGAACATAAAGTGAAATAGAAATAAAGTAACCAGTGGATTCAAATTGATTTTATTATTATGTAGATATTATAATTATCCAAATAAAAATATTTCACACTTCAAAAAATTAAAATATTCTGACTGGAAGCAATAAAAATGCTAGTTTCTTAAAAAGTAATATGATCGAGGATACAAAAAGCAACTCATATCGGGGTCACTCGCGGGTCATGAGCCATGCATACACGTGTTTGTTACGGAGGTAATAAAAATCACCCGCTGCAGCGTGAATGGGTACATGATATTTATCCCGCTGCTGCAGCGGGATAACTTTTCTACTGTGAATGCATTTGTAGCGGTGTTATGGCGGTGTCGCCGCTCCGCTACAACGCCGCTACAAATTTCAAAACCACTGTGAATGGGGTATTATAAAGGTAGTTTTATGTCACATAAACAAATAGTTAATAAGAAACTCTGATTAATTCTCTTTGCCAAGTCTGTTTGAGAGGATTTAAAGCCGTTAGTCCCCTGGTTGTTTACTTACAAGCATATAAATGCTTTCTTAGCAGTCAGGTAAAACAATCATCATCAAACAAATAACAGATACACTGGGTACTTCTAAAGTGCATTTAGAAATATAATAAAACAATATTGATGTGTGCGATACAAAACAAACTATACAATCATTATTTTAGAAAATATGAAAGTGTTTTTGCATAGATAATCACAATTTATTATATAAATGTGTGCATTCACAAGCTAGTATAGCACACTTTTTATTATTTTCAAAAAGGCATACTATATTGTGCATATAAACATATATTTCTAAGACTGTGACATGCACACTTACCTATATACTTGGAATCCGAATTTGGCATATTACAGAGTTTGATTTTCTGTTGTTAATGGTTGCAAATGACTATGTACACTGTAGATCTATGCATGCATTTCAACAGGCAGAACAAATTGATTAGCCTGCCTTTGAGGATTGGGGATTTGATAATATTTCTATCAATTCTCATATTACAGTGCTGTGGTCAGATTCCTGAATGTAGCCAAATTGGGACTTCTTTGAAACCATGAAGGCAAGTTCTTTGTAATTGAATAATGGATTAATTAATGGATTAATTAATGGATTAATTAATACAATAGTCCCCATGAAATACAGATGTGATGAACATTAATGAAATTACTAGTTCTACAGTACTTTTAAATGAATGATAATGAAATGAATCCATGTCTCTACATTGTAATGAGAACAAGAACTAACAATACCATGCTATTTTCTTCTTCTTTTTTGTGAATTATTATGGTAATACTATGTAATCTTCTTACCTTTGAAGAAGATATCATGTTCTTCATCCCAAAAGACATGCAGCCAATTACATCATCGAACCTGCAATAATACAAGAGAAGAACAAAAATCAAGCCCCTTCTTGAAACCAAAACTTGATGTCGTGACCCACTCATGAATGGGTTGAAACTAAAGCTGAGCTGACCACCAACATTTGTAACGCTTTTTTTTTTACAAAATACCTCTAATTTATTTATAACTTTGGCCTCTTATAATTAATTATGTAAGAGAATCAGGAACTTTGAATTTATAATAAAATTTGATGACGATGGTCACCCACAACCAGAGGGGTAGCAGGGTTCCAGCCATCGAGAATGGGGCACTCATGTCATGGGGGAGGGGGCACTAGAATTACATTTACAAGGTTGATGAAATTAATGAAATGGATGAAAATATGGCTATTGAGTAGAGGGGGATGTGAAAATTGCTTGTATCATCTCCTTTTCTGGTTGCTTTCCCCTACTTTTGTGTGTGTCTCTCTCATTTTAATTGGGGGCATGTGCTCCTTGAAGCCCCCCCCCCCCCCACAGCTACACTAATACCTCCAAATAAAGAATTTAAAAGTAGTTCCTCGCAAAGTTCAGTATAATGTAATACATGGGGTACAATGTACTTGGCCATAATTAAAATCTTGCTTGCAGTACTGGTTTGTATTGCCTGACTCACAACCCCTTTACAGATAAAGATCAATAACCTGGCTTATTTAAGTACAAATGACCCAGAAGTTTACAAGAGTCAAGGAAAAGCCTTTAAAGGAGAGTTTAATAGCACAGTTGGTAAAGCGTCTGCCTGTCGAACCAAAATCGTGGATGCATGACCTGCATTGTGTGTTAACATGCCGCTCCCCTGGTTGATATAAGCAGGCTAGGTTACGGTGGAAAACACTGTCCCTTGAATAGGACGTTAAATGGAGGCCCTGTGTAGAGGAGAGTCACCACCTTTGCTAGTTAAGAGCCCACTGCATTATTTGTATAAGAGTACAGAGAAACCCCAGTGTCCACCTGCACACCGCAAATCAAACCAAACCGGGACGAGAGACCCAATGGTTAGGGTGGTTCAGTTCATATTTCGCCTCCCAGGCACAGGTGATGCCAAATAATGATATGAAGAAGAAGTAGAACCATTGGGGTCTTATCATGTTTTTACAGAAAAACCCAAAGAATCTTGAGTCTAATTAAGCCAACTATGAGTATACATTCCTTCAGTAAGGTAGGCCTACAACTTTGAATTGCTAATTTGCTCAGATGCACTTTTGCCTTGTTTTCCTTTAATATTTATTTCGAATCCCAATGACCGATTAAAATTCACCCCTTCTTCCTGTCACACGTAAATGTCATCGTAACACGCCCCGTGGCTTGCTAACGATTATCAAACTGAATTCAGTTCAGGTTTATGGGAAAGTCCTGATAAATAAATGCCTCGATATGGAGCTTTCCCGAGCCGAGGCACTTAGAATGAGTCACGTCTGAGGTTCATGGTGCTGGCGTCGACGGAGTTCTGAAAGTCACATGACCCGCAGAATGGCTGCCCCTGACTTCCAGGGTGCCGGACGGGGGAAGGGGCTTATGGGATGTGACGTACGGTAACATGAAACCCAAGGTTTTTGGTAGGATAAATGCAGTGTTACATGTCTATAATGTGAGAGAATGAAATGTGTCATCTGTTCTGAGAGCCAGAGAGCATTAACTCTGTGGATTAGAGTAGGAGTGAATGCCCCTCTGGCCCTGAACAGAAACCAATTTTATTTTTGTAGGATTAATGCAGTGTTATCAGACCTGCCAACCTCTGGAGTTCAAAAACTGTCTTCTTTAGTGTCAAAAGTTGTATTTCACCGACAAAAGTTGTATTCTTGAAAATAAACAGGGATTGTTACGCGGATCAATGCCTCTTACAGTTTCTACCTACAGGAAGAATTTCTTTTATTGATCATTGGTTGAATATCCATTATTTCATCACGACTGGTGTGTTCGATGAACCAATAAACATCCCCAAATTGCCGATGTGAGATGCTTGTAGGATACTTTACAGGACAGAATGGACATTTTGCCATTGAAAATGGCGGACGCACACACAAAACATTAATTTTTTTTTTTTTTTAATTAAAAAAGGTTGTTTTTTTTTTGAAAATCGTATTTTATTAAGGAAAATCGTACTGTCATATTTGCTTCTAAAAATCGTACTAAATACGACTAAATCGTACTGGTTGGCAGGTCTGTGTTATATGTCCTGTGTCTATATTGCCTGAGAATACAACACATTCATCTGTTGAGAGCCAGAAGGGTGTTAACTGTGTGGATTATCAAATAGAAACCAGAGAAAGAGGGAGAGAGAGAAAAGACAAAGGGAAAAAGGGAGAGAGGGAGCGAGAGAGAGAGGGAAGGACAGGGAGGGAGGGAGAGAGGGAGGGAGAGAGGGAGGGAAAGAGAAAGGGAGGGAGAGAGAGAGAGAGAGAGGGGGAGAGAGAGAGGGAGAGAGAGAGATAGAGAGAGAGAGAAGAGGGAGAGAGAGAGGGAGAGAGAGGGAGGGAGAGAGGAAGAGAGGAAACAAGACAGAAAGAGAGAGAGGGGGAAAAAAGACAGAGAGAGAGAGAGAAAAGAAAAAAGACAGAAAGATAGATACAAAGAACAAAAAAAACGGTCAAAGAGAGAGAGAGAGAAGAAAAAAAGACAGAGAGAGAGAAAAAAAGACAGAGAGAGAGAGAAAAAAAAAGACAGAGAGAGAGAGAAAGAAAAAAGAGAGAGAAAGAGAGAGAGAGAAAAACAAATACGGAGAAAGAGAGACAGGGTGTGTAGAAAGAAAAACAAGATGAAGATCTTTTACCTTTTTCCTGTCTGTCTATTGAGATGAATGACGAGTCTGCTTGAAAGTTGAACCAGTTCTAATGGACTGCGATGACAGCAAAGAGAGAAACAATGATCAATACTCTTCAATTGCTTCAATCATTTTAATATAAATTACTTTTAGAAGTCAATCTACAAACATAAATTATGAAGATAACAATTTATCGAATAAATATACTTGATTCCTATTATATCAAGCATTGGCAGGAAGTTATATTTTATCTTCCAATCCATTCAGACAATACTAAAATCAGAGTGTGTGTAACCCAGTCTTGTAATCAGATTTTAACTACTGGTGCATATATGCTTCTTGGTTAATTTCAAATTTAAGCTTAATATACTTATGTAATGTACCTTTTCTTTAATGTACATTGTATATGTACCTTAAACTGTATGTACCCCTAATCACATAATCATCTAACAAGGGCATCCAACAATGGGACATCAAAGGCAAATGAGAGAAAAACTTAATGTAGGCACTGGGCTTTTTTAGCTTCAAGTTGAGAGGTTCTTTAAAGTGGGACTGCGCTACTTGTAGCTACGTGTGCCCTCTATATTAAGCGGTACCTGTTGATCCCCCAGGATCCCATTTTTCTTCTTATGTTAAATTGAGAGCAGATTTGATGAGATAACCACCTGTCAGTGACCACGCAGGGAGGTCTAATCCCTCCTGGCCAAACTAGTGCAGATAGGCTTTAAATATTTTTTGGAACTCCTGGAAATCTCTTTAAAATGTATATATATCGACATGCAGGGAAAAGTTCTGTTCACATCAAGATACTTACATATAAAACGTTTTGTCAAACTTGGGTTCTCTGGTGTCATGTTGGATGGATGTGAACTCCCTCAGGATCTCCTTGCCTTGGGTGACCAGAGAAATCTTGAAATAAAAATAAAATATGGAGGGAAGAAAAGGGAGAATAAATTAAGACAGCTATTGATGGGATTGATAGCGATAGGAGATTTCCAGGGCATTCCAGGAGGCACGATAGCTCAGTTGGTAGAGCAATGGTCTCATAATCCGGCGACCTGGGTTCTAAACCAAGTCAATGCGCTAGTACCCTTTGGTAAGGCATTAATCCTCATTACCAGGTCCCTCGGAGAGGACCTAAAGCCCTCAATCCCCTGGTTGCTTACTAACAAGCATTAATGCTCTCTGAGCAGTCAGGTAAAATAACCACCACTACACTCATTTGATCTAAAAATCTATATGCTAGCTTAAAATTTGATTTATCAACTATTGAAGAAATCAAAGAAGCCATGTACGGTGCAAATAAAGATTATTAACAGGTGCAGTATTGCCAAAACCACCCAATATAGTTCTAAGAATTGACAATGCAAATGATGAACACCATGCTGAATGCAATTATGTGCAGGTAAAAAAAAGGCCCCTCACTTTTCACAAGGTGCCCCAAGCTATCAGTTAGCACAATCTCTATTTCTTAAAACAATCTGATTTGCCAAATCCATGTATTTATACAACTTAAGGGAAAAGAACATTGAAAGACAGACATTTGAAGAAGAACAAAGTAACATCATTATGGATATTAAAAAAATGTGAAATATATGGTCTCCTTCCCTTTTTGCACATGTACCCCTAGTTATCAGTTAGCACCTAAAACCATTATTTTCTATTTTTGAATAAAAATCTGATTCTGCAAAACCATTCTCTACCAAAAACTTCCAAGTAGAAAAACTGAAACACAAATATTTAGTGAAGAACAAAGTGATATCATTTTGAATACGATGATGTGGAAAATAGGACCCCTTTTCTTGTGTACAAGGTACCCCAAGTTATCACTTAGCACCCACACTATTTATTTTCTCCAAAAGTTCCCAATTGTCAAATACATCTAAAATCTTGGTGTTCAAGCAAAAGGGAAAAGAGAAATGAAAGACAAATTTTGACAAAGAGCAAAGTGACATTATTTTGAATATAACAATGTACATGTAAAAACCAGGACTCCTTCCCTTCTTTACAAGGTGCCCCAAGCTATCAGGTAGAATCTTTATCTCTCAAAACATTCTCATTGCCAAATCCCTTCTTGATCAAAATGTTTCCACTCGTGGGATCACAAAGTTGAGAGACGATCGACGAAGAACAATGCATGCTAAATTTAGGCTTGAGATGGTTTACTGAAGTCCCTCTCCTTTTAACCACAGAGCCTCTCTTTTCTGCATCCAAAGACAACTTTGATTTCCTCAAAGGATTCTCACTCCTAAAACACCACTCCTTACAATTGAGGCCTTCAAGAAACATGAAGGACAAGAATAATCTTTCAACAAAATATATCTGTGAAGAAAGTCTTCTGAAATGGTTACGGATAAAGATAAACTTTATCTTAGATGGTAGTCTTGACTTTAGTAATGAAAAAGAAAAAAAATTCACATTACATCCACACAAAATTTTCATAAAATTTTAGGTTAAAGAACTGGGTATCTGCACAATGAGTGTGGTAAAAAAATATGTAGAAGCCGAGTTATGAGCAATGACAATAATAGATAAGAAAGTTTAACTTGTCATCCCAAAAACGTGTCGACCGACCCTTCAAAACATGAGGTTCCATACTCTGTATATCGTTTTTTTATCCAAGTGACTGCAACCTTTTTTTAAAATTTTTGTTACTTTGTTCACCTTTTGCAGGCAAAAAATAGCCTCTTTTTGTTTTGCCTTCAAGTTCAAGCAAACTTTTGGATTTTGAATTTATTTGCATTGAATTTATTCAACACTTTCATAAAAACATACAAAGGCAAAGAATACAATAGTTTCTTGCGAACATAGATAAACCACTAAAATGGAAATAGACTAAAGGAAATTACTGAGGAAACTTGAGGAGAGTCTCGATGGAAAAACAGTTTCACTCAAAAAGTTACACTCAAAATGCAGTTCCACTAGGCCACTGTATCATGAAACCTTTTTTTTCCATTGAAACTTTGCATTGATACGAAGTAACACCCAAGGGATGAGCTAATTGAATCAATACAACAGAAACCTAAACAAAGCCTATTGATGTATTGTCTTGGACTTGGAGACTATCAAAAATCTTAGCTAAATCCCTATTCTACTTTTAACAGGAAGTTCTTTTCTGCACTCGGCGCATCTTAGTTTCATCAAAATATTCTGCTCTGCCAATAAAAATCTTAAGATAGCTCCATCGTCGTGTGGGGAAAAGGGAAAATTGTGGGAACAAATTGCTGATGAACGTGAATATCCGCTTTGGACTCATCATAAACCCGTCAAAATCAGTGACATTTTAGAATTTATTCTCAAGAGTTGGTCACTCTATGACTTGCAGGATTCATGATAGTCTCATATCTAGACTAATTAGATTCCTCTTTTTGTATGAAAGATAATAATTTACAGCAAACATTCTCTAGCTAAAATCATAAATCACACCTTTTACTCACATCACCAATAAAGTCTTCTTCTTTTTAGAAATTAATATTTAAAGAGTGCAAATCACATCCTTCTTAAAAGGGGATTCTATCTGTTGCCTACATCCCATAGCTTCAAAATTGACTGTTTCTGTTTTCATATTCAGGCTTTCTCCTTTTCCTTCTCCTTCTCCTTATTCTTCTTATCAGTATTATTATTTTACTTTCTTGCTTTCTTTTAGCTGGTTTCTTACATCACATATTAAGGAGACTAAAGAGAGTGGGAGCCTATATATATACTGACTGCCAGACAAATTTCATGCTCCTGTTCCAAAGCTTGGCAACATAGGGTATACCCCAAAATACAGCATTAATAATCCCCCCTGTCAATACTTTTCTATTGGGCAATGAGTAACGACTCTTGACGGAAAACGATTTCTCATTTGACATCAAGCCCATAATATCCTCACAGGAACAATCAAATAAAGCAAAACAATACTACTACAACATTGTGGTCTAATATTGCGTAGTCTGCAATTAAAATCTTGGTCAGATCACTCTCGTTCTTTGGCAAGGTTACTTTGAGGAGTGCCCTGGATAGAATCGGGGGGAGCTGGGAATTTGGTTTCAAAATGACATTGTGATTGCCAATTTGGTTAAACTGCATGGCGCATAAAGTGAAAGCAAGCTCAGGAGTTTAAATGGTCTAGTTGGTAAAAATGGGACTTACAGTACTGCTAACCTGGTACTACAAAACCCTGAAACTAACCTTAACTTAGCCCCAACATACATAAAATCATTACCATCTGTTTTTCATAAAAATAATCTGCAGATAAGGCATCCCCATGTTAACACACTATGTCATCTCACACTATAAACCTTATGGTATTTGTTTTATCTAGCAGAATTTTAATTGAAATGTTCAACCCTTAGTTATGGTATCTCAACACCACACAGTAAGATCATTGAGTTACATACTGTACATGCAGATAAAAAACACAATGCTTTAAAGGCATCGTTTAACAATGTTAAATCTCAGATGCATGGCCCTACCTGTTATCGGTGTCTGTGATATGTTGTAACATTGAAGCCCTAAAAAAGTTGCGTTTCAAAATGTTCATCATGAAGTGCCTCAAAAAAGAACAAATCTTTGAGTGACCGATTTAACCATACCGGGGTACTTATTTTTCCCAATAGATTGTAGTGTTATAATAAATTTCGATTTCCAATCATAAATATCTTGATAATCAGACAGGCGATTGGCTTGTAAAAGTCATGGGGTTCCTGACTGACCTAAAGGTTTATAATTATCATTGCAGCATGAGCTAAATCCAGGATTTTGTTTCAGAATCTGAGACAAAGATACCCAATCCCTTTAATATCCAATGAAATGACATTTCGATCATTGTACTCTCTTCTCTTAAGAGGCTATAGAAATGTCCCTGAACTACATCACCCTCTTTTAGAGTTGAACCATGCAGAGAAGGAGGCCAAAATTAGAACATTTTTGTCCAAACATGGCCATGTGCCAGTCTAAAAATGTGAACTTTACTGATTCACTTAAAGGATGTATACCTGAATCTTATTATGGTATTGAAGAACATTCAAATACGAAAGTCAGGATAAAATGTTACAAGGGAAATGAACCTTCCTAAAGAAAATAGCTGGTGGAAGCATACATACAAATAAGGAAAAGTTTAAATGTAGGCAAGTAATAAGATGTGAACTTTTGAAAGTTGTGATCAGTATAAATTTTTCATATGATTTGGTGTTTTTCTGAAGTTCACTGGTTAAAGTAATAGATCAAAGAATAACTTTACATATAAATGCAGGAATGGGGAACGTCATTCCATGCTAATATCTTTCATCTTCATTAACGTTATAATTTTTTTCCTATTTCTCTATTCTATTTCATTCTATTTTCTTGTACCGACAGCCACAAGGGAAGAGCATAAATAGCAATGGAGAGGGTGGATTATGTTTTCCTTTTTTTCTTTCTTTCTTTCTTACTTTGCACTTTCATTCTTTTATCTTTGTTGTCTAGGGGGTGGGAGGGGGTGAGTATCTGGAATGGGTCATTGGTTGAACTTTCAGGGCTGTCAAAATCGGTTTCCTGAATAATTTTTTTCTTCTGCAAAGAAAATTGCATACTCACCCTGGCATACAATGTGCACTGCTGAGTCCTGCATGGCATTTTCAGCTCCTTGGCTGCGCAAACTATGATTGAAATAAAAAAAAAAAGTGAAGGAACAAGGCTTAAGATTTTGGCATATCATGACACATTCTCTGTCCATAGTATCACATTAATCTAGATTTATTGCAAGATCATACAGGATACCTTACAGTGGAACCTGTCTATAAAGACCACTCGAGAGAGACAAGAAAAGTGGTCTTTATAGGCAGGTGGTCTTTATGTACAGGTTCCTTTAGGACATGTTCTAATAATGCACCATTTTCAAGGGGAAACAAAAAATGTGGTCTTTCTATACAGGGGGTCGCTAAAGCAGGTTCGACAGTATATGAGCATTGGAATTTCAAGAAAAGAACTGAAAAATAATTATAACTAACTCGTTTTAAACATCTTGGGATGATTTTTCTTAGAATATAAAAAATAGAAAAGTACCTATTTGATGTGATTGGTTCACTCTGAAGATGCGAACCATAATTCTCGTAGATTATGAGAAATCTTCTCAAAAAATCTGTGATATTCTATACAACTTTAATGGTGTATAAGTAAACAATCGAGTCTAACCTGTTTCAGTGACCCCCCACCACCCCCCCCCCCCCCTGAAAGGTCTTTTATACACAGGTTCGAACTGTATCATATTTCTACACACTGCCCTATTTTGCCCTCCCCCCCCCCCCCACCAGCGGCCTTTATGTTTAAGTTTTGACTGTATCACTTCATTATACAGTCAAACCTGCTTTAGTGACCACCTGTATAGAAAAACCGTCTGCCTGTGTATTAAGACTTTCTTGTCTCCCTTAATTAAGCAGAGTTCCAATTGAAACCTGAATTAAAATAACCTGTACATAAAGGCCACCAGCTAATAAAGACCACTTTTCTTGTTTACCTTGAGCGGTCTTTATATACAGGTTTCACTGTACTCCTGAATCAAGAACTTTCTCTTATCGTTTTACATAGGATCATATCATTCTGATCAGGATGTATAATCCACTGCAGCACTCGGTCAGGAGTGGCTCGCATTACAGCCCAAATCTTACCTCGAATTGAGACACAGCTCGCTTTCGTCTTGATCAAGATCTTCAATATTCCTGCAGATAAAAAAGAATGAAATCCAAGGTAAGCAAATCCATATTCTTTATCATTTCATATTCCACAATGGAATTAAAATAAATTTATTCATTGCTATTTTGTGATTACTATCAGGAAATAATCACTATACTATGGAAGTTAAGTCTTGTGTAGAAACCTCTCAACCTCTCCTATCTCTGGTTGATGCACCTACATGTAGTAACCTGCTGTAAAATTTATTTAAAAAATATTTATGTACATGGTCTAGATACATGAACGTTTATTGCTGTGAGAATATCCATCATAACAAATATAAAAATCACTAATATTCTGTCTCACAAAATTGTCTGGTATTACAGTACCGGTATTACAAATATTGCAGCATTTCAATTTGTTCTACTCTACACACACAGCGGCTTCCTCTACTCTGATAATTTTAACCATCATCTCATAAATGACAGCTCAACCTGCTTTAGCTATCACCTGTATAGAACAGCTACAAGACTTCATGATTATTATAACACAATTTTGTTTCCCCCGATCAGTATTTCTGATGAATCCTGCATTCCATGAACCTGTCTGTAAAGACCACCTGCCTACTTCAATACTTTACTTTTTATCTCCATTAAAGCCCCACTGTCCTACTTGTAGCTACTTGCTCCCTCTATATAGAAAACTTCCCCAATCGGTGCCTGTTGGTCCCCCATGATCCTCTTTTTCTTATGTTAGTTGAGAGCTGAGTTAATGAGATAGCCATGCACCCGTCAGTGACCTCGCTGTGTGGTCTAATCCCTTCTGGCCCAGTAGTATTGATGGTCTTTAAGTGGTCTTTATATACAGGTTTGAGAGATACCCACCTGTCAATTTAGCAGCCTCACTATCCTCTATCTCTCTTCGTTTGGAAGCTAGCCTCTTGCCACTCCGCCTCACCGACTCATTACGGCTGAAGTAACCATACTTCTTGCTGTCCTGCTGCTGCCTCCCTCTCTTGTTAGGGTTCATATAGTCTTGCTGGTCATGGGTGCTGTAGCTTGGCTGGAGGGTGGCTGCCTGTTGTTGTTGATGAGTTGTCATTGTTGTTGTTGTTGCTGAGAATGTTGTAGCAGCTACCCTCTGCCTTGTTTCTCCTTTGTTGTGATGAGTTGAGGATGATGGATTGTATGATCCGGTCGCCATGTTGAATAGAGCTAAGCTCACTCAATCTGCAATTACAAAAATATTCAAAATGTAGATGTAGATGTGTTGCTGGCCGTCAACTGTCAGCGCTCACTAAATTTGACCAATCAGAAGCCTGGAAAATAGTCGGTGACAATAGAATTGTTGGTGAAAACCACTGACTAATTGTTTCACGAAATGTTGAAGTTGAATTTAATGAGTTGTAGGATATGGTTCCTAGTGGTTTATACAGCTAAGAGGGGGGTAAGAGCACCCTTTTTTTGGGGGGGGTCCAGTTTTTGAGGAAAATTTTTGCAACGTCTCAGGGGGTGGGTGGGGCAGGAAGAACCCTTAGTTTTTCGCCATCTTTAGCACAAAATTTTATTTTTTATTTTTTAACAATTAATCAAACAAATTTGAGGGGGGGGGGGGGGGTTTAACCCCCAAAAGGATTTGACTGAAATAGCATAATTTTGGTATAAAAAAACACGGAAAATCACAAGCTTGCTCCTCGCACAAATATCTTATAGCATTGAGTGAATAGACCAGCGATAGCCAATTTGAAGGGCCTATGTCGGCTAGGCTAGGAGCCAACTAAAATGAGGCCGAGATTGGATGAACGATCTGTGCATGCGCTAAATTTAAGTTAAAGTTCGACGTGACTAGTCTACATGTATGTAAATTCTAGATTCCGGAGATCCAGTTCTATACCTACCGGTAGGCCTACTACAATTTCATTTGCCAAGGCATTGGAAAGTTCTAAACTGAGAAGACATGTACTACATCATTTTTAACATATAAACTTCCTCAAATTTGAATAATTTCCACACACTACTTCTTCACTGTATCACTCGCTCCCCCAGCCCGCGCCCGACCTGGCCCATTGCCGTGTGTGGCCATACCGTAGAAACATCTCGCTGCTCCACATGCACACGTACGTACGGTATGTCATGAATGATAATGCAAAGCAGTGGAGCGAATGATGACCCAACCTAAAAATCGATCTATATGAGTTGGGGCTATGATTTACAAAATTTATCACACTCGCTAAGTTCCTTTCCGTATTTTTGCAAATATGATACAAGCATCATACAAAATAAGATGGAAATATACTCACAAATCGCCGACATAAGTCAGTTTTAGAGAAATCGTCACTTTGCAAATACAAAAAGACCGCCATATTCAAACAACGGGGGTGTATGAGTCACTCGCTGCGCTGTGTGTGTACACATGGGGAATCGCGGGTAATAATAACGTAAACAAACATTTCGACGGAGGAGCGGTTGTGATGGTCTCGGGTGGCCGGGTGATGGTGGTGGTGATGGATGTTGGTGGTGTTGCTGGATGGTGGTGGTGATGGTGGTGGATGGTGGTGGTGGTGGTCTTGGAGGGTAGTGGTGGTGGTGTGTTATGGGGTAAATACTACTACTACTACTACTAATATTCATTTGTAAAGCGCAATAACTATATGCGGATATATTGTACTGCGTTGCAAGAGCTCGTAAATGCTGTGAAGGGTGGTGGTGGAGATGATGGTTTTGGTGGTGGTGGTGGTGGTGGTGGTGGTGGTGGTGGTGGTGGTGGTGGTGGTGGTGGTAGAGGAGGTTGGTAGTGTCAGTAACGAATCCAGGGGGGTTCAGGGGGCACGTGCCCCCCGGTAAAAAAAAAGGAGGGGAAAAGAAAGAAAAGAGAATAGAGAAAGAAGAAGAAAAGAGGGAGGAGAGAGGAGAGAAAATGCGGGAAAAGGAAGAAAGGGAGAAAGACGGAGGATATAAATGGGGGAAATCAGACAGGGGTGAAGAGTCGAAAACATTACAACAAATCGTCTTCTTTCTCTGATAATTAAATGAAACGTCGTAGCTTCTGCGCTTTGCGCGGGAGGGGCGTAACAAGAATTATGAGTCGGGAACGGTACTGGTCTTCTTTCTCTAATAATTTAATGAAGTGTCAAAGCTTCCACGCTTCGCGCGTAAGGGGGGGGGGGGGTACTGAAAAATAACTTAGTTCCTAGCCCCGGGTTTATATGGTTAAATTTGTAGACATTGGGACATTGGCATTAATATATTTGTCGGGAAGTACGTTGTGGCTAGTTTTGTCGTTAATCGGTGGCCTCTACACCCCCCCCCCCCCCTTTCACTGAAAAAGGTCTAGCGACTCGCCTGATAACAACACAGTTTATACACTCGAGATAATTTTTGCAAGTATTATTGGTGAAGTACCAGACCACCGTATTTGTGCATTGTGCAGCAACGAAGCGTCGTAACAATTTACTTTTCTCTAACTTCTAACCAATCAGAAGGCCTCGTTTTTTTCCAGGAAGTGCCGGTGGACATTAATGCGCCAAATGTGGTTCTCAAATTGCAAAAGATCCCTACTCATGGAGGGGGTATAGGAAAAAGCAATGTTACGTCATTTTACTCCAGGAAGTGCCTGAAAATGCTCCTAATGTGGTTCTAAAATTGCAAATGCTTCCTACTCAATGAGGGAGTTCTGACCCCCTCCCAGACCCACCGCCGCTTGGTCGCTCCCCTCCCTCGCCGCTGTCGCCTCGCTCCATCGTTTTTCATTATATTTCACCCATGCGATGTTGTGCCCCCCCCCCCCGATAAGAGGGGTCGTGGTCGAGTGGATATGTCACCGGACTGTGGATCACAAGGTCCGCGGTTCAAGTCCCGCCGCGGCACTAATGTCCTTTGGCAAGACATTGATCTACATTTGCCACTCTCCACCCAGGTGTTAAAATGGGTACCCGGTAGGATGCGAAAGCTAATGTGGTTTGATTAGCAAGTGGCGCTTGTAAAATGGCGACTGGCTGGAATGCTCCCCAGAGAGTGGAGAATGTGCATACCTTGTGTGCGGGTAAGCCTGGATCCGATGACCGGGGTAATAATATGTTCCGCGCCTAGAAACGTAGTATTAGGCGCATTATAAATGTGAGCTATTATTATTATTATTATAAGAAAATCCTGGATCCGCCACTGAGTGTGGTATTCGTGCATGCGAGCGTGGGAGGTCGGTGGAGGATAACCTGTCGTAGATGATGGTGGTGGTGGTGGTGGTGGTGGTGGTGGTGGTGGTGGTGTCGGAGGGTGGTGACGGAGGGTTGTGGTGAATGTAATCGTGGTTGCAGCGGTGGTAATCTGGTGATGATGGTGGTGGTGGCGGCATTTTAGAGGGTGGTGATGTTGGATTGTGTCGTTACTGTTGTAGGTGGTGGTGTTATGGCGGTTGTGGTGGTGGCATAAGAGTGCGAGGCGATGGTTTGTACCTGTCCAAATTAATCATGGAAGGAACAAACCAAGTGAAAATGCCGACAAGTTGATGAACAATTTTTGATTAGCTGCCATTAACTATTTAGGAGGACTCCTATGCTTCGAGCCTGCTCACACTAAAAGAAATTTATACAAAACTCATATGAAGAAATTTGATAGCGCCTTTACCATATTACTCTAGGACTTTTCAACATGAATGGATTCGATTACTTACTTATTTTCCAATATAAGTAAAACATACAGCTGTCTTTAAATTCCTTTTTATTCTTTACAAAAATTAAGCTAATCATACATCATTGAAAATAATTGGTAGAAATATTGGCCTTTATTTATCGATCGTATATACACATTACAGGCTTTTTTTACAGCAATAATTTTTGCACTGTAGAAAGAAGTTTCAAATGTATAAATATGATGTATAAATATCAGAAATCAATTTTGTAAAACCTTTTTAGTTTTTATTGTAATTTATGTTTTACCCCAGTATATAGTATCATCGATATGAGTATCAGTAAGAGTGTGTCAATTTTTGTTTTAGAATGTTAGCCCTTCATTCTCCATATCAACCATTCCTATGTTTAATTTATCATTTAGAAGAAGAAAAAAAAGGACTGAACATTAATAAGTAATCAATGAAATCAAAGATCATTTACAATTATTATAGAGAATTTCGCTTTATGATCAATTCAACAGTTTATCATGACTTTTCTAATGATTGAATTCAAACTTTTACAAAATTGTTTCTCTGGTTTTTATTTTTCTGCTCAGTTAAATTCCTGCTCAACTTAAATTTTCCTTTTGATATATTTTGGACGATATAGAAAATGGATTTCCATTTTGATTTGATTTATTTTTAAATTGATTTAAACTTGTATAAGTTTAATTTTTTGGAAATAGGTTACTTTCTATATATTTCAAAGTATATTCTCATCCTTCATTACTCAGTTAATGACTCACAGATTACATCAATAACAATCTTTATGGAAAAGCCTGCCAGACCGACCAAGCCAGCTTTTATTCGAATTGTATCTTTTTGAACAATCATGAACAATCTTTGTTATTATATCATTTTGAACATCAAAATAATTTCAATTTTTTAAGCTCATTCTTGATTTTGAAAATATCAAGTGTAAATATTGTTAACATTGCATAATTTCAATCTCAATCGTCAACGTTCACACCTAAATATATACTGACATTGTATAGAACATTGCAAAATATTAATTTTGATCCCTAACCTGCATGGGGCTTTGCCTTTTTTCCCCCACGCCCGGACCAATTCCCTAGGTTGAAAAAACCAGAGATAAACTAAATAAGGCAAATGCTCTGGAAAAACCTAATGGCAAATCGTCCCAATAAAAATAATCTATTTGAATCTCTAAACCTCCTACAAAAACAAACACCAAACTATTGTTCTGTATTAAAATTTCCACTTGAAATTTGTGTCGTGTATCTAGTGTCTGACAAAGCTAGAATGGCTACCACGCCCATTTCCCTCTCTTATTATGCCTTTCTGAACATTCCTTTCCTTCTCAATACTTACACCTGCCTAAGTTATTCAAACCATCCCGCTTCGCGGGATCGCGGCGTCTCGCCACTCCCATTACGTAATCATTAAACGGATCCGCATATACAACATTTTCCTGCTATACGTTGTACCGCAGGAAATACAATTATTATATATCGGCGAAAGTGTCTTTGGCTGTTATAGGTGCGGTCTCAATCCTCTCCCAAACCTCAATTTCAGAAATTTCTAGGTTTTAAAGGGCGCCCGCTCAAGGCGCATTTCCGCGACACTCTGGACAATTTTTTTCTTTTCCTTTGTTTTGTTTTGATTTGTTTTGTTTTGTTTTGTTTTTTATTCTTTACTTTGATTTTCTTTGATTTTCTTTAATTTTTCTTCTTTTCTTTTTTTTTCTCTTCTTTTCTTTTCTTCTTTTTTCTTGACTTCGCTTTTGTATTTTCATGTTTTCTCTTCTCTTCTCTTCTTTTCTCTTCTCTTCTCTTTCCTTTCCTTTCCTTTTCTTTTCTTTTCTTTTCTTTTCTTTATTCTTTTGTTAGGTAGGTTGGTTGGTTCTTGGCTTATTCGTTAGATGGCTGGTTGGTTTTATGCTTGCATTTTTATAGAGAAGGCGACCCTTTGTGCTGTGGGAGAGGCCCGGGGAGAGGTTCGTTGAATGAGCACCCTCTGGGTGGATATATTGCGCGTTATAAATATCTGTATTATTATAATTTTTTGTAAAGGAATTGTATAACGCTATTTGTGTGCTGTATCAGTTGTGTTTGAAGTGCGCTCTCAACTAGAGAAAAAAATGGTTGGACTTGTTTTTGTCACCCGCTTCGGTAGTCCTAGTTGTATCTTTGAGTTGTGTACGTGCTCTTTGTTATTATGATACACTGATCCGTAGGAAATACTCTATATAGATAGGAGTCTGCGATCGGACAGGATCACGGTAGGCTACCATCGTCCTCATCATCATCACCTCACGACAGCGAGGAATGCGACTTCAATGTGGATTATCAACGACTGAAACTTAAATCCTACATTATTGTAGTACTCCTTAATCATACGAGCTCAATAATTATACTCTATCGAAATAGGAATTGGAGATCAGACAAGATCGCGGCAGGCTGCCGACCTCCTTGTCAACATCCAGTCTCGACATCGACGACCATGACTGGAATCTTGGGTAGGATCAAGCGAAACTGGGGTTGGGTGGTGACGGTCTCAGCCGCGCTCATTTTCATCGTCGTCCACGGTTTCCTCTATTCATTCGGCCTTCTCATGGTGGAGCTCATGGAGGAGTTCGACAGCGATGTCACGACCACGGGTAAGTTAAAACCGACGTCGTGCCAATACAAGTCATGTTAGACCACTGCGATATACTAAAGGGCAAGTTCAAATTGTAAGTTTTAATTTGCAGTCCTGTATGGCACAAAGTATTGTAGAGATCTGTACATAATTATATTGAAAACAAATGTGTTTGATTTTTCATTTCATGTATGGTGTGATAAAAGCTCTAGTAAGGCTATTCACTAAATACAATCGGCAGATATATGTTTTTATAGTTTATGACGTACGGGACAACTACCACTCAAACTATATGTACCTGTATCATAAATTCAATCGGTAAAAGCATGAACGAAAGATAATATGTTTCGTAAAAAGTGTCAAATATGCTTGTATTAGCATGTGTTCCACAATATTTAGGGCAATTTCGCGTCAAGCTTGAGGAATGTGACCATATCTACCATTCAACATATCAAATTTCCCTATTGCGCGTTATATAAGCCATTTGGCGCCCAATAGGGACCCACATGAAATGAAGGAGGGGTCTGAAAAATTGAACCCCATCATTTTTGGCCAATTGGGACCCTTTTGAAGCCAAAACAGCAACAACAACAAAAATCAACTTTGGCACAAAAATCCTGCGGGATTACATACCATACCTGCAAATCAGTACTGCAAGCAACATTTTAATTATGGCGAAGTACATTGTACCCCATGTATTACATTATACTTCCCATGCAGAATCTGAACTTTGTGAGGAACTTCTTTCAAATTCTTTATTGGGGGGGGGGGGGGGTAGTGTAGCTGCTACGGAGGGGGAGGGGGGAGCACATGCCCCCAATTAAAATAACACACACACAACAAAACCCAAAATAAGAGCAAAATAGGGGGAAGCATCTAGAAAAGGAAATGATACAACCAATTATTTTTCAAATGCCGTTGGAATTTAACCGTTTCATTTTTTGGCCTGCTAATGGGACATAGTACCTTTAACTCACCTTTCTTTTTAATGTTGGATGGCTTCCGATCACGCAAGCACAACTTCACTATCAGAATTAATCTAGTATATCTTTGGATGCCATTTCAATGATATAAAATCAAAAGGGGAAAAAAACAGGGCATTGATGACATGACAATATTAAAGCAATAAACAACATAAATTTGATGATTATGTTGTGCTACAAAATCAAAGAATATCAACGAAAAGAGACAAACTGCCCCTGTTAACTTGCACCAATCGGACTCAATAGGAAGAATAATCAGAATCAAGTTAACGTTCACGTATTGCACTTATGGGGTTGGATAGTAAGATATTTTGTTTTAAGTTAAACAAAATAGGTAAACAGGAGTATTGGTCTGTGGAAAACATGAAGAGGTAGATTGGCTGAGAGAGGTAGAGAGACAGAGAGAAAGACGCAGAGAAAGAGAGAGAAAGAGCTCGAGAAGGAGAGAGAGAGTGAGAGATAGAGAGAGAGAGAGAGATGGAAAGAGAGAGAGAGAAAGAGAGAGACAGGGAGATAGAGAAGACAATACACTGGTGTAAATGGTGAAATTCCACAATCTTGGAGCCTATCCTGTTTAATATTAATTTTATAAAAATAATATTAATAATACTCAGTTTTTATGTAGCGCTTATTACAATCACTAAGCGCTTCCAAACTTGGAGATTATTACCCCGGCTTTAGCTGAGCTGCCATTACGGCGCTCTAGGGGGGATTTTCTCAAACCTATTACACGAATTGTTCCTCTCTTTTTTTTCTTCCCCTTTTCTCTCTTCTACCTGTTTACCTTTTCCCACTTCCCATTCTAATCCGTTATTTCTCTTCTCCAACCGTTCAGTATTGAATTTACAAGTAACACATTCTTGAAAGGGGTGTGGCATAGTAGATCCATACAGCTATCTATATCAATATCTGCTTAAGAGTATTACTATTAGCTCGAATATTTGTGGTGAAACATCTAAAAAAAAATATTAAAAAATCGTCTATGAGGTTTCCTGTTGGCGGAGACTATCATGTATTCATTCATTCTAAAAATTAAACATTGACACTATTGAGAAGCTATGTCAAAGCATAGAAATTGCCACAATAAGAGTATCAGATCAAATATTTGCACTACATCTGAATTGTATCTTCTATGGCTTGTACAGTTGGTGCAGAATATTCTTTTATATTCACTTTAAGATAAATATTGATTGTGCCTGTTGAAATGACATTAGGGCAACTCAAGAAATATCAACGTAAACGTGATGTTTGCGTTTGTTCACTCATATATACCAGATGGCCTATTTCAGTATAAAACTACAAGCGAGAAACAGATCATACAGATACAGACAAACCATGTGAATACTGAATCTTTTACAACGGCGACATCCCGGGATACCATCAGCCCACAAGCTTGGTTTTTTAGCGGCGAACGTTGCGAATTTGGATTCGCCAACTTTTCTGACGAAAGTTGGCAAAAATCAGGGTTCGCCTTTTGAATGTTCAAATTCCTTTGCGACAAGAAAACTGTTTGCAAACTTTCTTGCAACCTTTTACAAATCTTTTATGAACCCTGGCGAAACCCCAAATTCGCTACGTTCGTAAGCATTCGCCGCTCAGTGCTGTTATCATACTTATTATGTAAACTGTTGTAACCATTGCAGTTCAGTCTTTGGACTGCGAGAATGGACACTATTCAATAAAATCCTTCAACCAAATCAGATACCCCCTTAAATGTCAGGTTCCAAACGTATGTATTTTTTTTAAAGGCCAGTAACTACACATTAGAATACAATGAAACTCGTCTGGCGCGATCCCCGTCCGAAATCAACTAATTAAATTGGTAGTTCTCTCAACCAAAACAATTATTTATATAAGCGGAGGCCCAGAGTCAGAAAAGAGGGGTTTACCGTTTGCCTGCCACTACCACAAATACCAAACACACCTTATTTGTATCATACGACACGATATTTCGGAGGTGTTTTTAAATTAATCAGAGGGGGCGTCGAAAACAGAGGCTCTTTTGACGTAAAAGAGGGTTTTGCAAAAAATATTTTAAGGAGACCTTGAACCGTGAGTTTGGTGTCATATGAACAAAAACAATGATCTACATTTTGATACCACTTTCAACAGAATTGAGATTAGTTAATGATAAAGTTGAGTTCTGGTCATGCGATTGCATTGTGAAAGAAAAGGTATGGAATGGAGCAGAAAAAGTTGATCATGTAGCATGTAAGTATTGGTGTGTACTGCAAGATTCTGGAGTCATCAAAATCATAATAAATTTGGCCCGGTCTTGGTAAAGTAGCAAACACTGTACACAGAAATATGTATATGGGCAGGCGAGTATGGGTGACCCAAAAAAAGCCGACCCTACTTCCCCCCCCCCCCCCCAAGGAAACGAAATACTGATCGGACCAATTTTCAAATTTTGGGACAAAAACAAAATATGTCCCATTACCCCCCCCCCCCCCGCTTATTCAGCGGCTGGCTGAGTCGTTGCGAAATTTTAGGCGTGATTTTCAAATTTTATACCCCCCCCCCCCTCCCTTTCCTTGAAAAAATCCTGCGTACGCGCCTGAACTACACAAATGGTGTCGAGGTAACTTGCCTTGATTTCCTTTTCTTTCTATGCTCATTACTCAGCCGATATACACGTCATTTTCTACCAAAATTGTTTGGAAAATGACATTTATTTGTAACCTTGAACATTCAGTGTAAGTTTCGTTTGATTCTGTGAGAATTCATTTTCTTTTTTTAACAGAACTCAAGTTTATCTTTAACATCGAAATTTTGAGTAAAGAACATGACTTCTTTGATTTTTTTTTTTAATTGAATTTTATCAAAAAATATTATTTTCCATACATCAAAATCGGAAAGGCGTCTCCTTTCGTAACATGCCAGGAATTCGCCCATGTGAAAGGACAATATCTTATGCGAAGGAGATGATTATATCTTTTTTCAGTGAAAAGGTTACAGCGACCCAATTTCATTACTTAATTTCCTCAAAAATGAAAGATTTGCCCAAATGTGTATTCACTGTATATGCAAATACATGTAGTACGTGTATTAGTGTATTGAAGATGTGTTTGGTGTGTTTAAATCGGGTTTTAAAGATAATCACCATTGGTTAAGTGTCAAATGAAGGATATTTAAAAAGCCTTCAAGTTGATATATATACATTTCATTGAGTTATGTAGAATGTAAAATATAAACGTTGAGCCGAAAATGTGTTTTTTGTGGATGATTTTTTCCCCTAAATTTGACCAGCGTCTGGAGTGAAGATTTGGAATTGTAGAAAGTTCAAATGATTTTAGCAGGAACATTTCACCCCGGAAAATTACCCCCCCCCCCCCCCCTGAAAATCACACCCTGGGACAATTACCCCGAAAAAACTTATGCTTTTATTAAGACCAACTCATTATCAGGGTGGACTTCCCCTTTATAGTGAACATGGGTGTAATGTTGCATGGGGAGGGGGATATTTATCCTCGGGGTGGTTGTCCTTGGCTTTCCTTGGGGGCAATTTTCCGGGGGGGGGGTGTCCATTTAATTAACCTGGGTAGAAAGTATCAAATGTTGATTAATGTCTTCCCAAATAATCATTAGCGCTGTGACAGGGATTCGAACCCGTACCTTGTGTTTCATACCCCAGTGGATAGTTATGGTAGGCAGGCTCAGGGTTAGTGTTCAGTTTCGTTCAGTATCATTTATTTCCATCAAAATCAAAATACGAAAAATTACATTTTTTTTAACGTGCAAATGAGATTTGTTTTCAGCACAGTACACTATAAAGGATAATAGTAATAATACAAAATAGTGAAAATGCAGTACAACAAAGAAAAAAACAAAGAAAATTTTTAAGAACGATATTGTTTGTAAATAAGTGCACACCTGACTGCATGGTTTATGGTGAAACTGGACGTGGTAAAATACTCGATAAAATTAAGTGTAGGATGATTGGATATTGGGTTAGATTAGTTAAAGGGAAGCAATCAAAGTATTCATTAATTCTTTTTAAGTTTCTGTTGCAGTTGCAAAGTGAAGGACAAAGTTTAGTTAATATAAAGTCACAATGGGTCGAGTTTCTTGCAGACAGTTTTGACTATATGCAGGACTTGGGAACGTCTGGCGAGCTCAAGGAGAAGGATATAGTGCTGCCTGGATTATGAATACTATGAAAACCAGGCATTCTGACATGTCTATTCAGGAATGGAGCGCAGCTACCTGGTCAAATCGTATTTGCACGAACTATAGGATGTTTAAGAATGAGTTGGTTTATGAAAAATACCTGCAGATATTATGTCAGAAGGAAGCAATAACTTTAAGTAAATTTAGATACAGAACACATAGATTACCAGTTAATAAAGGTAGATTTGATGCAAATGTAGTAGATGATTCGCAATGCCCACTCTGTACACCAACAGATATTGGTGATGAATTTCATTATATTTTTGTATGTCCATTCTTTCAAAATGAAAGAAAAATGTATATACCAAATAACTTGTGTGGTAGTAGCTTAAGACCAAGTGCGTTGCACATGGATAAGGTTTTTAATACAGCTCACGCTTGCCAGCTAAAGAAATTAGCCAAATTTGTTAGAATCATTATGTCATATTTTTCAAAAGATTCAAGGGTAGATGGTAATACTGTAAATGATAGCTCACAAATAAGCAATTGTTGTTAGGCACACTCGTAGCGGTAGGAGGGTGAATTGCCCAGTTCGCCTTGATTTGTAAATATGTTTATTTGTTCATATTATCGCATGTTTATCATTATTCATATTACCACATGTTTATTATTGTTCAAATTATCACATGTTTATTATTGTTCATATTACCACATGTTTATTATTGTTCAAATTATCACATGTTTATAATTGTTATACTATTGTTATATTGATACTATGTTGTAAATATGTTTGTACTCTCATACCCCGAGAGGGGGTCGATAGAGTCAATAAAATCTTACAACCAATCTTACAGGATAAAAAAATGCAAGCTTTGTAGAATTAATGTCAAGAAATATAATGTAAAACATGCAATGGAAAAGAGTGATCCACCAAAAAGAAGGCTTGTAAAACGTGAACCACTCGATGAAACAATATATACAATTCATAATTTCGGTTTGAGAACAAAAAAATCTTAATGTGTATTAAAAATTACATTATGGAATCTATAAAATTGGATGTGACTACTCACTCACTCACACAAAAGTCATATACACACACACAGAGATGCATGCACACGATGCAGCACACTTATATTTACATTTACGTGTGTGGATACTACGTCTATTGTGCACATTGTATATAGTGCACGGAGATCAACCACCCGGCGTCACCAAGAGGGGTTATGGTCTAGTGGATAAACCTTCGGACTTTGAACCACAAGATGCCAGGTTCGATCCCTGTCGCAGCAGTAAAGTCCTTTGTCAATACATTAATCTCCATTTGTCATACTCGACTCAGGTATAGTAAGTAGTGCTCTATTCCCATATGGTCTACAACCAGCCGTCTACTATCCACATGGTCTCATGATCATGATCGCGTCGTCCACTTATCATTTGTTCATGTGCTTTATGTATTGCCAACAACTGAATTTCCAAATGGACCAATAAAATTAATCTGAATGATCTGAATGAATAGTATTGGTATTGGTATTAGTATTGGTATAATTTCAATTTGGTCTAATCTCCAATAAGTCTACAATCCATTTGGTTATCAGAACTTATGGAAACTGGGAATTAGACCAACTGATTATTATACTAAATGAACTATAGACCAATTGGGTAGTAGATGAACGTGTTGTAGACCAAACGGAAGTCCACCGTATAAGTAGTTAGACTACCTTGTAGGATTCATTTCTTGAATGCACTGAGCTAAATCCAAGGTAATAGTCTCCAAAGTCTCTTGGAAGCTCATAGAGATGGTATTTCATAATGTAATATGCGCTATACAAGAATGGAATATTATTGTTATCATTATTTTCACATGTTCTAGGATACGTAGGAACGGTGGCCTATGGTTGCACCTGGATATTCTGCATCATTGCCACGCCCATCGTCGGTCGCATCGGTTTCCGACCAGCCGTCATCTTGGGCGTGTTCATTTGTTCCGCCTCGGTCCTCATCAGCTCCTTCATGCCCGGTATATTACCCCTCTTCGGCTCCTACAGCCTTCTCTTCGCCGTGGGTAACAGTCTGGTATCCTCTGGAACCTTTCTGGGCATCATGGCGTACTTCCCTATAAAACATACCACATTAGCCTTCGGGATTTCAACGGCGGGCGTCAATACAGGTAAATAGCGGATCTGCTGAGAACCAAAAAGGCGTTAACACATTGTTTTATTACAAACATATATGTTGCACACGAAGCGTTATTTGCCTGACGGAGGTTTGCGTCAATGACCAGTGCGGCGTTAGGCTCGCCATGTATGAGTGATGTCGTACAGGTAGTGAAAGCACAACGGACAGTGCAAATACTTCTTTCAATTACTGACGTAGGCGCTTTAATTGCCTTCACATGGCCGATTAGCGCAGTTATAATAGGGACGTTTAGATTTGCACGTCGACATAGGGTACTGTTACGTGTGACGTCCTTAAAAGGAAGTCATAGTGCCTTAAAAGGACGTCACACGTAGCAGTCCTCTATGTCGAAGGGCAAATCTAAAAGTCCCTTATAACGCAGTCGTAAGGACACCTCGTGTGCAACGGGCATCAATGCCCTTCTAGCTTTCAACAGACGAAAATATACGTAATTCGAAAGACACGTGAATTTTTTTAAGGTTCGAAATTCCCGGAACTTTCTCGAATTGTTCTTGCCTTTCTACAGAGGTCAAATTCACTTCTGAGGTTTATTTGTCTTTATTGTACTAGTTAAAGTGACTCAGTAACATTGTTGAAGGCTGATGAAAAAGTTGCTTAATTTTTGTCTAAAATGTTACTTATTATATTCCTTTTACTGTACTAACCCTCTGACATGCAAAAAATCCTTTAAACAAAAATCTCAAACCACAAATATCTATGGTTTTCTTTGAAGGCGTCACTATGCAACACCCTCTAACTGTGATTAACAGTAAATTCTCCCAACCATTTTTGAATTTTCCCTACCGTTTTTCCATGAAAAAAAAGACACAAGACAGGCTATTAAAAATCTGTCAACACTTAAATGTCTGGAATGGTATGTAAAGTCAATTTATTGCTTTGTGACGATTTACGTTCACCTAAAATGTAATTAAATTGTAATAATATAGTTGGGAGAATTAAGGAATCGATGGGATCATTTTTTCCCAATTTGTATCATTATGGTCCGTTTTCACTCAAATTTTCAGATTATCTTTAATTGCATATCTAGCATTGAAGTCACTACCTTAGCACCACTATCTCTCATTCTGAACAATGTTACCAAGTCCCTTTAAGTTGATATACCAAGTTCATACTATTTTCTATTTCACATTTCACGTTACACATTGTCAGTTTTGGTCACAAGAAATGACAATGATAAGAATAATACATAGGCATTTCAAAATATTTTCCGTCACTTTGGGTTGCTTGTAGATACTTGTAAAATAATGACTAAGGCTTGTTGCTTGCAGGCTCCAGAGGCAATATAATATGTTGTGGTAATAACAGAGTTGTGGGAACAAACGAGGAACAGTTAAAAATCTTTGGAATGTGCATCGAATATAAATGAATGATTTAGTTATAAAGATTCACGTTTGGCTATCAGAGGAATCACTTCATTCATGATCATGTCTATCTAATCTATCTGAGCATCTTCTCCCGGTTCGGAGGTTGATTGCAACATCCCTCCATTTCACTCTTTCTTCTGCCATTCTGGAGCACTCTTCAAGTTTTAGTCCACTCCAGTTCTTGACGTTCTCTTCCCAGTTGATTCTGGGTCTCCCTCTCGGTCTACTTCCTTCCACTCTTCCCTCCAACTCATCCTCTAAGAGGCTTTAGCGCCTTTTGACATGACCAAAGTATTTGACTTTTCTCTCCTTAACTAATCCTACTAGTGCAATTTGTTTACACCATGCCATGTACAATATCTTTGTTGGTTTTCATTCGTTTCCAGGATATTTTCATCATTCTTCTGTAAATCCACATTTCAAAAGATCGATGTTATTCTGTTTTCCATGGCCTTGCTTATTGTTCATGTTTCTGCTCCCTACAATCGGACAGACCATACATAACAGTTTACTAGTCACAACCTAAGCGCGAATGTCACCTTTCTATTTGTGAATAATCCTTTCATTGCCAGAATCATCATGTGAATAATTCTTTCATTGCCATGATCATGATGGCGTTAAAATATTATTCTTTATTTTGTTCGTACCCGGTGTAGGTATACTCGTTTTCAATCCGTTAATGTACGCCATGATGTCACGGTGGGGATGGAGGAGTGCCCTGCGTATCGTATGCGCCATGTTTCTCACCATAGCTCTTCCATGCACTATGGTATTCATCCCACCCTCATCACCGTGGATATCACACGATGATGACGATGACGACGATAAGGTACAACCAAGATCATCTAACTTGGATGGGAAGTCACTTAATGGTGTCTGTGATGAGAAGAAGACACCGCCGAAGGACGATAATGCCAACCGACGATGTCTCCTGGAGGACAGTGGCACCAGGGATGAATCGCATCCTCCTTTTGCTAAGGCGACGGATAGGAATGCATCCGAGGTGAAGTACATTCCGCTAGATGGAGATGGGAAAGAGCGTTTGTCGTTGATGGAGTTAGAACAAGGAGCTGCAGGAGAAGAAGGTGGTGTTGCTAGGACTAGGGTGCAGTGTGGGGACTGGCTGAGGCTCTTGAGTTACCCGGATGTCTTCCTGCTCGGGATTGGAATCTTGCTTGGTAGTATGTGCCTGTCTTTCCTCTACTTCAGTACGGTTAGTCCAATATCTAGCTCATTCATACCCCGCCATCTCGACGAGACGAAACGAGACCGAAAACAGACCGAACGAAAAATTATGTTTCATCGAAGCGGTCGGTTTGAAGTCGGTTTGGAGGTTGGACTAATATATATTTTCTAGTCACACCCATGAGACCGACATCGGACCGACCGCTCTCCATTTTGCATTGCTTTTTTTTTAAATACAAGATTATGATGATGACGTCAGTTCAAGCTGTGCTTATGGCGGCCCCTCTTTTCCCTGTATGATTTCATGTGACCGCACATATCAAAATTCCATACAGGACTATTTTTGGTGCTGTAAATGGACAATAAATGAAAATCAATCAGTCAGCCAATGAACAACAACAAATTCGTCGCACTGAATGGCCAAGAATGGGTGGGTTTGGAATCGTATGTGAGTCGGGTTGGCGGTGAAAATAATCTCAGGAACAACGCAAAACCGATTCAGACCGCCTCCAAACTGGCCGATCATTGGTCCTTTGGGGAAGTGTATTTATTCAACCTGTCGTCGGTCTGTAGTCGGTCTGGTGACGGTATCTTTGGTGAAGTCACAGGTCTCATCGTGATCATGGGCGTCAAGTGGGAAAGAAGGGGTCGGGTAGGGGAGGGGCAGTAAGGACACGTTTATACTTATGCAGTACATACAATTTGATCCAAATTACTTTTTTTTTTTTTTCTGTAACTATAACTTTATATATTAAATCTAAGGAGACATTGTTTGGTGTATTCAAATGTGACGATGATGATGATGATAATGATAATGATGATGATGTTGATGATTCTAATATGTGATAATAGCAATAATAATGAACAACAAAATTATAATTTATTTATGAATAATCTTTCGAGTACTTCTTCATCCTGTTTTGAGGAATAATGATAACATTATTATTTTCCCTTCATGAAATTCTGGTTTATTTCTCCTTCTTAACACTGTAATACAGGCCAATTTCATAGTGTTGGCGGGTTTCTCCAAGCGGACGGCGAGTTTGATGATGTCGACCATGGGTCTGGCCGAGATCGTGGGAAAGCTCATCATCGGTGTCGTTGCCGATAGGATACCGGTGCCCAAGATATTCTACATGGTAGCAGCGAATTGTATTGGTGCCGGAATAATGTACGCAAGCTTTTTCGGCAAAACGGAGGCGGCCATGTACGCGATTGCTGCGGGTAAATAAGGATGAAATTGATGATGATGATGAGGAGGAGAAGGAGGAAGAATGTTTTGATGACGATGTTGGAAGATCTTTGTTGATAACACAGGCCGGGGGACTTCGTTTTGTTGTCCTCTTCATTGTAATTTGTCCTGCTATTTCATCTTTGCACTTACATCACATCATTGTTACTTCTGAAAATTCATGTTTGGTTCTTCTGTACGTGTATAGTGTTCTCTATCCCCGCAACATCAATTAAAAGTCTCTGTTTGGTTTTATGTGACTGTACGTCTTTTTCCTGATTCTCTCTCTCTTTCTCTCTCTCTCTCTCTCTCTCTCTCTCTCTCTCTCTCTCCCTCTCTCCCTTTCTCTCTATCTCTTTCTGCCTTTCCCTCTTCTTTCCCTCTTTCCCCCGACAATGATGATTGAGTATTTATTAAAAGTCATCTTGCAAAAAAAAATAAAAAATAATAATAATAATAATCTTATATTAATTACCTCACTACTCGTCTCTCTTTAACTCTGTTTCCTTTCCGCTGTCTCTCTCTCTCTCTCTCCCTCTCTCCCTCTCTCTCTCTGTCTCTCTCCCTCTCTCTCTCTCTCTTCTTCTTCTTCTTCTTCCCCTTCTCCTTCTGGCCCTCCCTCTCTCCTCCCTCCCTTCTCCCCTCCATTCTCCCCCTGTCATACCCGCCCCTTCTCTTCCTCTTTTCCCCTCTTTTCCTCTCTTCCCTTCCCTTCCCTCTCTCCTCTCCCTCGCTTCACCCTTCCCTCCCTTACCCCCTTCCTCTCTCCATCCACAGTTGAGGGGTGTTTTGTGATGGCGCCCTTGGACTCACTAGCTCACACGATGGCAAACCAGCTCTACGCTGCATCATTCAGCTCTCTCCTCTGGTCTTATGTTATGTTTGCTTGTGGCGTTGGGGGGATTTTGGCGGCCGTCTGTGGTAAGATACAACCTTCTATTAATTAAGAATTAAGATGAAGAGAAAAGAAGTTCATGACAATTCAAGACAGCTTGCGTCATATCTATAAGTGACTAACATTATACTGCAAACTCTAAGATAGGAAAGAGATCTGTAAAAGCGAAGGGAAGGCGGAAAGTGTTTTGAATATTGAGTTTAGTCCGTCTGTGCTATAAAACTTTGAAATGAGTACAGAGCAAGCTTGAGTTACTCCCGAATAGTGACACATTTAAATGTGACGTAGGCCTACTTTGTACCAGTGACGGATCCAGGGGAGGGGGTGGCCCTTGCCCCCCCCCCCTTGGGAAAAAAAATCATGTAAAAACACGTGATTTTTACCGTTTTTACCCTGGCGCTCTAAAGGGGGGGGGGTGCAAATTTTTAAATTTTCGAGGACCAAAATTTTTTAAAAAAAATTAGTGGTCACTACCCCCCCCCCCCCCTTCCCCCCCCCCCCCCCCATACTCTTTGAATGTCAATCTTCACTTTTTCTCATAGATGATTTCACTTATTCATATTACCTCTCAATCTGATCGTTGTAAAATACAGGTGAAAGCGTTGACAAAACGGGCTCGTACAACACCGCCCTTTACGTCATCATCGGAGTGTTCTTCACGGCGGCCCTGTTCCTCGTGCTGGTTCCGGTGTATCAGAGAGCCTTCTGCAAAGATCGTTGCATCCTCTTTAAGAACGTTAAACGTCTTGGGAACAAAAAGGCCGATGATAATGCCAAACCCACAGCGCTCTATGAAAACCTCAGACAAGAACAACAGATGATAAACTCTTAGTATGAATTTTGTAGAAGAAGTAAAGATTTGTAATAATTGAAGTAATATTCGAAGGATTTCGAACTAAACCCTCTCTAAAGTGTTGGCAGCCCCCATTCGCCAAAAATATGATGGCAAAATGTCACTTAAATTGTATTATGATGTGAAAGAGGATGTCATTTATGACACACTTCTGCAAAGATCCCCCCCCAAAAAAAAAAAAAAAAATGTGCTTGAAGACAAATATTGATAAAAGAATACATCATTTGGGTTTTCTGTTGTACGCAGAAAACTTAAATTTTATATTCTTTCATCAATATTCAACTTCAAACACATTTTGTTGACAATCCTTGCTGAAATTTGTCTTAAATGACCTCTTCTTTTACGTTATGATACAATTTAAGTGAAATTTTGCTATCAAATTTGTTGGGCTTCCCACACTTTAGAGGGGCTTTAAACTTTTGCAAACACAGGAGGCATTTTAGAGATGCGGTACGCACGAGGGGTTTCAGTTGATATTTCATTGAAGGATATTCCTGCAGATGAGTGCATAGAACATGTACAGGGGTGTTTCACATAGATCCTAAGTCAAACTTAACTCTTAGTTGGATTTAAACATTATGGAGATCCATTTGTAACCTTTAAAAAATATATTCAAAAGCAAAAATTGAAGTATTTTATACTTTTCATAAATTCCACATCAAGAACATGAAATCTCCTTGATAATAGAAATATGAATGATTAGAATCAAAATCTTATGCTTTAAAACTTTTACAAAATATTTCCAAAGATACTAATGGCTTTCCATGACTGTTAAGTCCAACTTAGAGAAAAGTTCAAATTATGATCTTTGTGACACACCCGAGTTGTAATCTCTTGGCACATACGTTTTGAAGCAGGGTGCAATGGCCTAGCGCCTCGACTTTCGACGGAAAACTGGCATTTATACCATGGACTTATAACTAAACATGTCTCTGTCTTTGCGTGGACAAATGAGTGCATACAGAATACGTACGTAACAACTAAACAGAAACACTACAGTTCCACTATGGGCGTATATAACGTAACTAGCTTATCTTCCCAGGTCGAAATTCTATTAGGATCCGATCCTATTGGACCATCAGAAACCATTAGAGCTATTGGTGTCTAATGGTTTCAATAGGGAAAGTGAAATGATGGACCCACAGAAACCATTAGAAAATATCTATAGGACCAACACAAACCCACAGAAAGAAATGCTGATGGACCAACAGAAAGCTTCTATTGGACCAGCATCCACCCATGTCTTCTATGGGTTTCTGTTGGTCCATTAGATATAAAAAGTATATTCTAATCTCAATTGCATTAACTCCATCACATAGATCACTTGAAGTGAGTTTAAGAATATCTTTTAATTTAACTGAAGGCTTGTACTATTCTATATAATAAACATACATGAATTGTTTTTTGGTTAGTAATCATTATAATCAATATATCTATTGCTAAAACGTGAATGAAATTGTAACATTATTAAACAAATAATTTATTGTTCATTAGTTGCCGAAAGAAAATAAAAATCACAAAATTGATGTACATTGTCATAAGTTGTTTATACAAATTATGATAAAATTAATGTAATTTTCTGTGAACTCGTATAAAGTAATCATGAATATGCATGAGATAGATTTAGCTGTTGGTTTCTATTGGTTTCCATTGGACCAATTTGTTTCTATTGGTCCCATTGGGTTCTATTGGTCTCATTGGTTTTCTATTGGTCCTATCGGCCCTATTGGTCCTATTGGTCCTATTGGTTCTATTGGTTTCTATTGGTCTTATTGGTTTCTATTGGTCTTATTGGTTTCTATTGGTCCTATTGGTTTCTATTTCTATTGGTTTCTATGGGTGCTATTGGTTTCTATTGGTTTCTGATGGTTTGAATGGTCTCTATTGGATTCAATTCTATGGGTCCAACAGAAACCAATAGACTCCAACAGAAACCATTAGAGACCAATAGAATTTTTCTAATGGTCTCTATTGGTCTCTATGGGATTTTCGACCTGGGTTTGTTTCTACGGGGACAAACGAGTGCATACAGAATACTGATGTGACAATCAAATCTGGGTGCAGTCGTCATTATAATGTACTATGGTCATTGCTAAGCCTAGCGTGGAATGAATACTATACTGATCAATCAACTGGCGTCATTTGCCGGTAGTGGAAGAACGCCTCGTGTGCAAAAAGCTCTACATTTTACCTCAGCCATTATACCTCTGCTATGTTTGGCCACTCACACTTCAATTCAAGCTCTACATTTTACCTCAGCCATTATACCTCTGCTATGTTTGGCCACTCACACTTCAATTCAAGCTCTACATTTTACCTCAGCCGTTCTACCTCTGCTATGTTTGGCCACTCACACTTCAATTCAAGCTCTACATTTTACCTCAGCCGTTATACCTCTGCTATGTTTGGCCACTCACACTTCAATTCAATTCAATTCAAGGTTTATTAAAAAAACATGTGTCGCAGCCAATGGATGAATTGAACATAGTACAATTAAAACACTCATTGCATATTTCAAACATGAAATACAGTTACAATTGATTTGTCAACATTGAAATGATAAGATTGCTTGGGCAGCATATATAAGAAAACATAATATAACATGGAGTCAGGAAAACGGAGAAGAGAAACATGAAGAAAAGAAGTAAAAGAGGAAGTTGTAGAAAATGCATGTACATCAAAAAATATAAATTGCATACATGTATTTTCAAAGAGTCATTAAGACAATATACGAATATAAAAATAGAAAAGAACATATTATTTACATAACATTGTTGAAGATTGATATTGCAAGTATTTTTATTATTAGAAAAATGATATAAAAAACAAAACAATTATGGCACTCTAAAGAAATAAAAAAGGAAGTTGAATAAAATGTATGTACATCAAAACCTAAAATTGCATACATGTATTTTCAAAGAGTCATTAAGACAATATACGAATATAAAAATAGAAAAGAACATATTCTTTTCATAACATTTTTGAAGATTGATATTGCAAGTATTTTTATTATTAGAAAAATGATATAAACAAACAAAACAGTTATCGCAATATAACAGTCCTTTTCCTTCAGATATAAAGTAGCTATTGAAGGTTTGGTTTGCGTTTAGGGTTCGTTTATGTTACCCCCCCCCCTCTCTCTCTCTCTCTCTCTCTCTCTCTCTCCCCTCTCTCTCTCTCTCTCTATCCCCCTCTCTCTCTCTCTCTCTCTCTCTCTCACTCTCTCTCCAAAATGGGGACAAAAGCCACTTAATTCTACTGCCATATCGTCTTTCTAATTTTTACAATTTTGGGAGAAAGTGGAAGCGTGCAAGCAAACACAACTGGCACTATATTATACTTGCAAAATAACTTCATCACAAATATATAATACAACAAGAAAATACATAAAGACCGTCCCACTGCAAATAGGCCTATATGAGATGTGGGTAGAATCCTGAAATTCTCGGGAGGCAGGGGGGGGGGGAGCTCCTTTAGATTCCCTCATCTTACACATGCACCCAATAGAGACCACAACAATGGAATAATTAAGGCATGCAGAGTATGTGTCGGAAACATTAGGGACTTTTAGATTTGCGTGAACTGAAACGTGTGACGTCCATTCAAGGCAGTGCATTAAAAGGACGTCGATCGTAGCATAGACCTATTGTCTTCGAGCGAATCTAAAAGTCCCTATTATCTAAATCCGGGAGATAGGAAATAAGGAAACATCAAGTGTTCTATGTATGGCAGGCTGCATGCACAAAATAATATATATTTTATACTTCCATTTTGTAAATATGCAATTATGAATGCAGGGTAATCAAGTAAAGAGAACAATATCTTAAGACAAAGTACTTTTGAAATAAGTGTATTTCCAGATTCTTTATATGATGATCATTATTATTATTATCATTATTATTATTATTAGTAGTAGTAGTATTATTATTGTTATTAGTAGTAGTAGTAGTAGTAGTAGTAGTAGTAGTAGTAGTAGTAGTATCATTATATTATAATTATCAATCACTAGTACAAAGTAAAAAGTATTAAGCACAATTACATGAAATAGGAATTAAGAGCAAATTTTCTACCTCATTTCCCCAGGATGCCAGGGCAGAAGAAAAAGGATAATACATTCCTTTTACCAACAGGCCTTATTATGTTATTGTTCCAAATGCATTTTTTGTTGCTTTTTTTTTGTATCAGCGCTCTGATCAGTATTATGTTAAAGCGCACAATAAGAATCAATTATTATTATTATTATTATGTTGTTGATGTTCTTAGATTTTCTTGCAATTATGACTGAAATATTAAATGAACAACTGAAAATAAAGCAGTAGATTTATTCAAGATTTTCTCCTACTTGGCTTGCTATTCTATTTGAATTTCGTTTACTTCTCTTATAAGTTAGAGGCATTTTGAAATTCAGCTCTGTCAATACTACAGTATGTCAGCAAGTTGACGCCTTATACCCCCTTCACAAACACAGCTTTTTTTTCTTACGGGTAAGAATTTGTAAAGTATACGTATCTATTCGTAACAAAACTCGTAACTACACGTGAAGTGCTCGTAATAGCTTCTAACAAACCTTACAGCCGTCGTAACACGACCTCGAATGAAATCGTAAACAACACGTAAGCATTCATAATAATCCATAAATAATCCGTAAACAAATCGTAAACTAACCGTAAACAATCGTTAAAAAATGGTTACGAGTCATTTCCGGATTTTTGCGAGCAGTTAACGGATGGTTACGTGTTGTTGCGAGCTGTTTACGATACTTACTGATTGTAACGAGCTAATTACGAGTTATTTACGGAAAAATATATCCGTGGACAGTCGTAAGAAGATTTTTGACACGTCTAAAAATTTGCTTTTTCTTTCACGGATCCTTACAAGTGTCTGCGAGTTGTTGCGAGATGTGACTATTTACGGATCATCAGCGAGTTAGTTTACGGATGATTTCGATTGCATGCCATCCGTGTATGTGAAGGGGGAATTATTTATGCATGCTTGTACAAAGAAATCTTTCGGCATTTCTCTTTTTATTTTGATCGTTTTTAGATTTAGATTTGATATTAAACATTCGTG